TTAATTCATACAGAAATTATTCTTCAAAATCTACATGACCAAATATATCCAATCCAATAAATTTCAGATTACCTGCAGAATGGCAATTCCCCCTGACAACCTTGCTATTCTTTCGTTCAGTATTTTTCTTTTGAAATTTTTCTTCAGTATTCTGCAAAATAAGGCGTAGTTGTGTCAGTATTCTCATAAAATGCTAAAATGTCCTAAAAGCAATGCAATGGCTATAGAATCAAGAAAAAGCATATGGGCATATCTTAAGAAAATACGTAGTAATCTGTTTTTTTTTAGCATTTTGAATATATAATTGATTGAGCCATTGACAGGAGTTCAATGGGTTTAGGGTTTAGGTCATAACTATTTTTGTTCTGTTAATTTGGTTAAAATTGTTACCGTCTTTTTCATTGCATGGGTGGTCACAGGACCAGCAAAAACGACGTATCTTGCCGTGGGTTGTCCAAAATCAGGTGATGTGCGTCTATGCCCTAGTTGTGCTTAATAAATAAAGGAGATTGAGTTTGATTGGATGATGAAAAAATGGGAAAATTTTCGACCAAATATTTGAGTGTAAAAAAATTGGTGTCTAGACCTAGGGGTAATTTGTTTTCCGTAATGGAAAGGATGTCTACATTTACTTCCAAGGCCTACCAAATGAAAATTAGTAGACTCAGGTGACAGCCCTGTAATTATTGACAATTCATAATTGGAAACCAAGGAAAATCAAACTCCATAGATACTGTTACACAAAACATACGATCCACCCTAACAAGCCTTTGTTTGAGAAACAAAAATTCTCCATAAACAACTCTATATAAGATTTGCGATTCACCTCAACAAGCCTCTGAATCTGAGAAACCCTCTTCTGACAGCAGCTTGATTGCTACCATCAGTAACTATTAATGTAGAATCCTTAGTTATCACCCCTTAGTAGCAGTCCCTAAAACCTCCTTGTTCGCCTTTTCAAGGGTCAATCCCATGTCATCTCTGATTACAGTCCCTGAAAACACATTACAGGCTTGGCATCAAATAAGGGGGATCATCTTTCTTTGGCCATGCAGAATCTACTTTTTGGATTTTTCTACATATGACTTGGTTTCGTAGTATGACAGTTTCTTAGCACAAAAGATTACTAGATTTAGTGATGCCAAGTTTTGAAATAAAACAGAATTTAACAGCTGTCACATAAACAAGAACTGAGACTAGGGCCTTTCATGCTCAACTAACATAAGTCATAGTATCTTACCTGTTCACAAGCTCATTTTTGGAAGGTTTCATGGCGAGATTGATCTACAAATATCGACAAGAAAGAAGCTAAGAACTTTACATTATAATACTTAATTTACTACCTCCAGTTAAGATAGCAATGTCATCTAAGCAGTGGCTCTTGCGCTCACCAAAGGCAGGAGCTTTAATAGCCGCAGCTTTCAGCACACCCCTGAGTTTGTTCCTAATTACTGGAGCCAGAGCTTCTTGCTCAATGCCCTCTGCAACTATCACAATTGGATACTTCTCCTTAACAGCATTGTCCAATATTTTAAACATCTCCTTTGGGTTCGTGATTTTTTTGTTTACCAAAAGCAACTGCAACCAAAAAATTCACACCCCCTAATTACTCAAAACAAAAACATTGAATGCTAAAACAACTATAATACCCCTACCTTGCAGTTGTGAAACTCCACTGTCTTCTTTTGTTGATCCGTAACAAAATAAGGAGATAAATATCCACGATCAAAATGCATCCCTTCTACAATCTGTAGAGTATTCTCAGAACAGTTCCCTTTTTCAACTGTGACTATACCCATCCTTCCTACTTGTTGAAGAGCATCAGCTATCATGTTTCCTACTTCATAGTCATTTCCTGCACTTACGGCAGCAACATCTGCAAGCTCATGATCCTGAACCTGAAATCTCAGAGAAATTGGAACATCCTCTCCAATAAGTAAGACATAATCCTCAACTTATGCTTAGAACCAAAAATTGGTATGTATATATGCCTTTCCTTTTGATATCTTATTCTTGGTAAGGCTTTTAACCAATTATTTTCCCAGGAAGATGAAAGAAGATAATGGTCCTTTCTACCTCTCTGCTCATCAATTTGAGTTCAGAAACAAGGGCTTTTGCAGTTTTCTCAATCCCACGTGAGATCTGAATAGGATTCATGCCCGCTGCAATAACCTAGAGGAAGGTAAAATCGAATAGAAAAAGTAACTGAAAGCATCCACTGAATAAAAAAATTGTAATCAAATGCTGTTCTAAGCAATGACATAAGATTTTATATTAGCATGGTTTCCTCATCACATTGAAGGAAATAGGTACCTTTACACCCTCAGCAATCAAACCCTGAGCTAGCACGACAGATGTAGTGCAACCATCACCAGCAATATCATTGGTTTTTGCACCAGCTTGCCTCACCAATTTCACTCCGACGTTCTCCAATGAGTCCTCTAACTCAATCTATATGGACTAATATAAGTTATTTACGACAAAAAACCCAGTGCAAGTCTTTCACAACATAAAGGAGCCACTCACTCTCTTAATGATAACTATCCCCATCCCTGTATCACAGAACTTGATGATCCATTCCAATTCAACCATCAATGGTCTAAGCTAGAATAAGATGTCTATTCATTTAATAGAATAAATTATATGAAGAAAGTGAAAAACTATCCTTCTTTATTTAAATAATCGTCAATAAAGTTTTAGGAAAAGAAATTCCAAACAGGTATTAATAAACTCGACTGAGCTCAGTTTACATTTTGAGAAGACACAGATGGATCAGCGTGAACTGTGAAGAGACATAATGGTCTTTGACTTATACCACAACAAACGATTCTGTTGTGATTGAATGGTCATCACACAGAACTAGTCCGAAAGTTTAAATGTTCGGCTTACAAACTATGTACAACTTAGTCCTAAATAGTTCTTGCATTTCCTAATATATATTTTTTTTATTTTTCTGTACCATCTGATGACTTTAACAGATCACCAATACAAAGCTTAGATATGGTCAGTGGTCTCCAAATTGTTTTCGTTTGATTCAAAATTTGTTCCATTATATGATGCTATCACTATTTTGTTCCTGAAACTTATGCATGATTTGGTGCCTCGAAAACTTACTAGACATGAACTAGGAGTTCAAATTGAGGTAGCCATGTTGCAATGTATCATATAAGAAACTATAGAAGTCTCAAGTTGTGCCCAAGAAGACAAGGAAACTTTAGAAGCATTGTTCATCAAGCAGGAGACACAATAACTATAGGCACCATATCAACAACCCGATGAAACCAACCCCTTCACCAGTGAGGACTGTGGAGGGGTGTTCTATCTTGGTCTGGGGCTGATGGCAACCAACCCAGATGGCCCTAATGCAGATCACAATTGATCATCTATTCCTAGAAATTTAAGATAAGTGCAGTAAGAGTAGGTTTACATTTCATCTCTCATACCCCACAACAAAGCTTTGAGCAGTCGAATAGGGTAAAATAACCCTGCAAAATGGCAGAGATTTTGCCAATCTGAATAAAATTTGAGCAGTGTTTTTCATCAATAAAACTCAAATAGCCCTCTCCCCGGTATACCAGCAACCTATTCACCTTAACAAAATGAAAAATGAAAGAAAAAGTTGGTAGGGTATAAATGTTTTTCACCTCTTTTAGAACAGTTTCACCATCATTAACAATCTTGGGAGGTCCATATTTGTTTTGCAACACAACATTCCTTCCTTTAGGACCCAATGTCACCCCAACTAGCTCAGCCACCAGGTTCACCCCTGCCTGCACCAAAACAAACAAAATTAGTTACTAATAAAGTTAACCTCAAGCAATACATATATGCTATTGAGGAAGTTCACAGTAAATGTTGTGTTTAAATGTGACCAGAAGCTTCTTTGTAGCTGAGCCATCATGGTTGAAATAAAGTTCTTTAGCCACGGCTCTAGTTTTGAATATAGAACTTGAAGGTCTATTTGTAAGAATGGACTGTGTTGGACTAATTAAAGAAACTGCAGGTAAAGGGAGGAGAGAACACGAACACGCCATGGTTTGTGTCAGACAGTTTCAAATATCTGTTTGGTAGTCTTTTTGGGACAGCATAAAGGGTACTTTGACAAATGGGTTTGAAGCCTTGAAGGATAAGAGAGAGAGAGAGAGAGAGAGTGAGCTAACGAAAAATATCTGTTAGAAACTACTCCTTGGCGCTACAACTTCCAGGAGCATAGATGTGTTGCGAATAATAATTCCGGTCTTTATTTCATTCTTAAATATTTTAAGATTTTTTATTTTGTACATTCAATAATCAAATATTTTATTAAAAATATTATAATATAATCTTTCTGTTAACTTCGTTAAACCAAAAAAGTCCCGATTGTGTATAAATGTGACAACGTAAACTTTTGAATCATAATTGAATCTCACCTTTAAGTTTACCTGCCAAACACTTTGTGAAAGAAATTGAAGGAACAAATAAAAAGAAAGTATGAAAAACTAGAAATTACCAAGTGACAAGGCAATTAGGGTTAAATTGTGATAATAAAAGTCCAGCCTTCTAATAGTTCAGAGGCTTGGAAATTGTGAGGTGAGGTAGTTAGTAAGGTGGTTAATTTATGATGTTGTCCCACATTGCCTAGTTAAAGAAAATCATTGTGCTGTTGATACGTAATTGTTTGTCCCACATGGTTGACTCAAAAAATGGCCCACAAAGAGTCATCCAACTCGTTGGGGATTTGTCATTCATTTCTAGAAGTTTAAGGTACTTTTATCTTTGCTATTTTGTTTTTTTAGCAAGGAGGTTCAAACCCGCAGCAAAACGATGACCACTAAACTGCCCGTATTTTGAAAACTAGAAAAACTGATAGAATCATTCAGATAAATGTGGATACTTGAGCTTAAAACTTTTTTTTTTTTGTTTCAACGACTAGAAGCGTTTGAATTTTTTTTGTTTCAACGGCCAGAAGTGTTCGAACCAACTTACGTGTACCTCGACAAATGTAAGGGTTCGATGCCCACAGTTTACAATGCAAAAGCGAAAAAAAAAAACCAAAAAACATACATATATGGAATAAGGATTCACAAATCTCATCAGAATTCAATTGACTTATTCAAGTACATTACTAGCAATAAACTGTTGAACGGGGGATAGATCTCTTCCAATGCAGGATGTCTCTAGTAATTTGAGTTGCCCAACACCTTCTGTTAGTTGTCAAAAGCAGCAGCTGTAAGAGGATGTATTTCAACAGAAGAAGCCTCTAGTGTGGTGAGTCACTCGTTGGGATGCCTCTAGTGTTATGAGTTGCACGACACCTGGAGTGTGAATCCGTTAATGTCAAAAGCATCAATCTCAGTCTTTGTAATGACACCCTGGTCAAATAAGAAGTGAGAAATTCAAGTTCAACCAATTACAAGTTTTGGGAAGATGCTCGCTCAATGCTAGGCGTGTGGGTCTGTGTGCACACATGTGAGAGATGTAAGAGTGTCTGTACGTGTGTCTGTGTTGCAGAGAAAGAGAGAGACCTTTTCTGTAATGATACCACTGATGATAGACTAGATGCTTCCTAATGTGTTTATTTTGGAGAATTCTAGTGCGTAAAATAGTCTTTAGTTCTTTTCATTTATTACTCTTGTTGGTTTTTTGCCAATAAATGATTCCGGTTTCAATATCTTGGTAGATTTATGTACTAGAGCCTTAGCAGTAGTTTACTGAAGTTTTGTTGTTTGTCATCGAAATTTAATTGCAGTTAGACATGAATTTTGTTCAGTGCGACGTCAAGAACTTCAGATGGAGAGGTAAGTCTCTGTCCTCTCTCCAAAATGAGGTGGTTACCAAACTTTGTTTTCTAGAAGTCAATGTTTCTGTAAAATCCGTTCAAAATAAAGAAAAAAGAAATCCACTAATGCTAGAACAAAGTTCCGCTGTTCAAATTTGGTCGGGCAGGGTATAGTGGATTTTCTTCACATAAGAGTATGCCACATTCTTCTCCAGGTAAAGCATGATCTCTTGTATGTTCTGTGTTGGATACTAGGAAGAATGAGATGGAAATAAGTTTTTATCAATAACACTGCTGCAATTGACGCTGACACTACCATGATAGTTGAGATGTCTAGGATTTAGGGAAGGGCTAGACTGGCTTGGAAAATGGTACATATTTTGTTAAATGAAGTTTGTCCATCAAGTTTCTCTTTAGTCTAGCTGAACTCTTTAATATTACCAGCCTTTTGAATTAACTTCTCTTCTACCAAAGTAGTGATCTTGGCTTCGGTGTAGATAAAATTGTTGATACTGTCATATAGTGAATCCTCCATTGGGAACACGGAACAAAGGAGCTGACATGGATTTCTCTCTGTGGCTTTGAAGGTAAGGCATGGCCCACATCTAGTGTGTTGAATGGTTGTGGGTAGTGATATCTGTGCTAATTCTGAATTGATTATCACTTCAGGTTGCTTCTCAAGCAGTTTATTCCTTGCATAAGACAACAAGGGATGTAAGTCAATTTTCTTTGAAAATTGTCATAGTTAAATTTAACTGGATTAGTAAATTGTTTTAGTCATAGTAGATTGTTTGGATCTGCAATTCATATCACAATGGCAAAATGTGGCTGTCTACAGATGGTAAATTGATTTGCCTAAGTTACTCATCGTGCAGAAATGCTCCATCATAGCATAGTAAATGTTGTTGTATTCTATTATCTTACTACAATTACATTTTGTTGCAGCAGGCCATTCAGTGTCAGTGTGATTAGTTTATCAATGCCCAAATATTTCGTCCACATCTTCTCCCATACATATATGCATGCCTACCTTTTTTATCCCACGGTTTGTGAGTTTTTCAGTCACAGAACTACATGAACAGAGCATCAAACCCATAGAGTGGAATTTTTAAGTGGTTGACGTACAGATGTAATATATACTTTTTCGGTAAGGGGCTCCTTCTAAGATGCCCCTTAATGGCGATATGGACTATCGTGAAAACGTCATCAGATAGCATAGAATCATATGGTATGTTAGCACTTAGCAGTATTTATTTTGAAAATGTAAACGTCTATTAGATATATGTTTAGCAAAAATAAAGAATATGGTTACCTATGCATACATTCTTATTGTATTTATTGATCTCACTCCGTCATACACGTGCCTCTTTATTCCTAAATCCTAATGGCTTGAGCTTCATGTTTAAGGAGCTGCAAGAGTTTGCTTCACGTGATGTTGGCTTTCTTTACTTCTCTTTCTTTTTAATGCAAGGCACAGAGTTAGCCTTTTTTATTCATCTGGTAGTGTTGCTTCGAGTGATTGTTTGTGAGGTTGTACTAGGAGTGCGGTGATTTGATCATTCTTTATATGATGATTACAGCATGTGAAAAGGACAGCCTTGCGGGATTACAATGCTAGCAGTGCTGAAATTTTATGTGAGGTATATTATATTCAGTTAATTTGTTCATTTGCAAGTATTTTTTGTGTTTATCCCTATATTATTGACAATATATCACGTTGATGGAACATTATTTGTCAAGTGGGTCCACCAGCCCCACTCCTAAAGAAGAAGTATAAATGACTCAACAAATATCGCAAGTGGGGCACACTATAATAAATACATGGCAGGTAATGAGTATTTTGACAGATTAGTTCATGTCTATTTTCATAGTACATAATGGTAAATGATTCTAATTATCTCCATATATATGAGTAAAAACCCAAGAAAGAGGAGGCATCAAGTATGAGCACCTTGGCTCCATACTTCACACACACACCTATATTATTTTTCTTGTTTATACACTCGCCGGTTCCAGCTATTGATCACAATACTGACTTAAGCATTGGAAGAGCATCCTCTGGCTCAACGCCGGGGGTTCTTCTAACCTTTTTCTGCCTTGTAGTTCATGGACCGGATGAGATTCGAAGATTAGGGACGCACTTTTAGCATTCTAGTGATTGTGCGAATTTTTGCCCGCACACACGTATACACTCTATTCTTTTATTTTACATGGTAAATGGATAGCATTTGAGTTAGTTTGATTTGGTTGTGCACATCTTCATGAATTTAGCTTTAAGTATGTAGGGCTGTGATCTGGTTCCTTATTTCCTCGATGCGTTTTCCTAGCTTCGATTTGATGTGCCACGCCTCTACAAATTTCACAAGAGAAAGCAGGTTGATATTGCGGTGGACCTATGGCCATTTGTTCCACAAAATAGTCAAGTAAAACGTCTCTAACAATGCATCATGAATCATTCAGTGACTGTATCAAGGTGAGCCTATACATGTAAAAGTTTGAGAATGAGACTCATCTTCTGTAACATTTGGAGAAAGCATCCGTCAGTGCTTCCTTTTAGTTCCCATATCTGTAATGCTGTGTTACCAGGAAGGAACCATTCAAATTCACCTAGCAAGTATCTAAAACAATACCTTGAGAAATTAGATTTTAATGTTGGCTTGAGTGTTAAAATGGGATGGCTATGTCAATACCTTTATACCCAGAATTTGTTCGACCAAACACCCATATTTAGAATTTCCTTGCTAATGATGGCTTCTCTTTTTCCTTAGCATCCACAAGGTACCCGAATTTGCAAGTGTGATCAATGTATAAACATAGGGGTGTTAATCGAGCTAAGTTTAAGCCCCACAAACTTATTTTTCTAAAATAACCTAAAAAAATGTTCAAATTCGATTCGTTTAAAACTCAACGCAAGCCCAAGTAGTTTGACTCATTTAAAACACGATCGATAAAAAATTGATCAAACTTAGTGCGTTTAAAATACAAGTTCAGTTCAAATTGAGTTTTATTTGAGTCACGTCCGAATAATTCGTCTCGATTAACACCCTTATATATACATAGGCTTCAAATGAGAGATTGGACACAATGCAATACCTAAATGTTCATTTATACTTGAGAAGAGAACAGAATAATCTATCTTGATGCAAACCTTTAGGGTAAATTACACTCACACTCCTTGACATTTGACTAAATTACATGGAGACCCCCTGACATTTTTAAAATCGCACGACGATCCCTTGAGATTTAAAAATCATAACACGAACACCCCTTCCATCT